ATATGCCCTTTGCAACGTCTTCGAATGAAAAACTGTCGTAAGCGCTCTTTGCAGTCTGAAAATGCCCTTCCTCCATGGAAGTCTTCGTGAAGGATCCCATGAAGATGTACGATAACCTATAGAGATCANGCTGCCATGCGCATATACAGGTCTATCCAGTGGATTGGGGCATTTGCAGTAGTCTAAAGCACTTCCCTACTTTCAGCTATTTCCGCTCTTGTTATATTTCATTTTCTGTGAACGTTTTCCGATCTTATGAGAAAGGATAAGGGTAAAGGACAAAGTTTTTGGCGTTAATCAATCCCGTCTGAGGGATGCTCCCCCGCACTCGACTTCCTTCCGAATCGTAGGGGCGAAATGAATGCGTATGTGGTCTAAACAATAACTTGAGGTGGATAGCCGGCGTACAAGTCCATGCTTTTATCCTCTCAGACGAGTCTGGTACCAAATCATCAACCCCGGAGGGATGAAAGGCTTGGTTGGCTTAGGCGGATATCGATCCGGGATTCGAACCCCTGACCGTGCGTGTGATATAGTGTGTCACTTGCCACTACGCCACCTCCGCCCTATCTGATGAGAAAACTTTTTGTTATTCCTGCCCCCTGTCCAATGATATATTTGTAAAAATTGTGCGGATATTGATTAATGACGTGGATGAGGATGACTTTCGCGAAATCCCTACTCCAAAAGTGGACCTCGGATACTGTAATCATTGACTTAGTCGAAGTTACGATACTGGAGTTAGTGATCCACGCACTCGGCGATACAGTAATCATTTCGCTGTACACCCTAAGAGAGCCGTTCCGTTACTTCTTTCTTCATGTATGCAGCGCATGGTCCACTGCAAATTCGCTCGGCATGCACTAGCCCAAAAGTACGCTTTCCGATGAAAAAGAAAAGAAGTGCAAAAAGTTATCTTCCTTTTTCTGACTTCATATTATCAACCTTTGATTATTCTAGAAACAACAATGGTTCGACGATAAGCTCATCTAATTCGAGTTCGATCGCCTCGTCGTCAACATACACATCTATTCCGGACGTGAGTTCAACTCCCAAAAAGAACGCCTCCACTTCCACTTCGAATCCGAAAACCGGCTCGGCGTCATCAACTGGGAATCAGAAAACACCTTCACTTGTGAAACCAGGACAGATCCAAACATCTGCCATCAAATCGCAGTCAACATCTAAGCCTGCAATTACGAAGCCGACGGCCCTTAAGCCTCCAGCAAGTTCAACAGCACAAGGTCTGTCGTTTACTCGTTTATGAGATCGGGGCGATTGAAAAGGCTGTCTATTGTATTGTAGGCTCGACTGATTCCGGCAAACCGTCCTCAAACATCAAGCCCAAGTTTTCGACAGCTGATTCAGCAGGTCAATCAAAAACACTGAAATTGAAATTGTTCGGTGCAAAAGAGAAAGACAAGAAGGAATCTGCTGCGATTACAGCATCTCCAGGACCCGTAAGTTCAAAAGTTGTCTTTTCTATCCCCTCTCCTACTTCAGTATTCTCGAATGAGTGGTATTCCTGGATCAGTCTGTATAGTTATTTCAGGTCAAAAAGGTCTCAAACTTGGTCCAGCCAAGGTCGAGCGGTCTGGCAAAACCCAAAACAACAACTGAGTTGAAGGCCTCATCAAAAATCGCCATTCCGAAGAAGAAAGAGGTACTGTTAATTATTTCTTTCAGGACATCTCGAAGCCGCTGATTTTTCCCATTGATGTGCTCCTTGCTTGTGATTCATTGAGAAATCAGCTCATCGACAGGATAGAGTCTCTCATAGATTTAAAGAATTCACAACGTCAGCTCTGGACTAACATAAGAATTGTGAAGCTCAGCAAGTAGGAAGCGATGGAGTCCGATAGGCCGTTTTCGGTCAGGCCTTCATTCGTGACCGCTCCTTCAAAGTCCCTTAAACCCGATTGACCACTTACACTGGTCACACTTCCACTGGTGAATAGGAGTGAAAAAATTGTGAAAATGTTTGAGTTGTATCACATTTGCGGGCCTTGATGGAATACATCTCACCTCATATCAGAGTTCGGTGCTCAAGGGGCTAACGTGGTGCGACTAGGAGAGACACAACCATATATTTGATTGAAGATCCAAGGTGTTCGAGCGCATGCTTCTTTAAATTTTTCTCTAAATGTGTGCTGAATGCTTACTCACCAGCTCCGACTTTTCATAATTTTCACATCAAGCATGGGTATGGCTTTTGGGTATGATTCCATGTTGACTGCCATTACCTCGAAGACCCGAAATCCCGGCACTGCAACACATGGAGGGTAGCCGTGCTTCTTCACTCGATTCTTCTCGAATTTTCATAAGCAAGAGTTCAAAGCTTTGAAAAAGATTCCAGTGACATATGAAAGGCAGGTTTAAGGCTCATACAAGGGTGTACATTACATCTCGGGTAGCTCCAACACAACGTAAAACTCAAGTTAAAACTCAAAGTACCCTTCTGGGGAAACTGACATTTCGTCGGAGACATTCTGGTCGACAGTCTCTTGTTGTTAGAGGAGCTTGCTGCTAATGACTCGAGCCATAAGAAAAGGGATGTCCGCTTTATTTGGATGGTATTCTATTCAAGGAACATGACTCTTTTCTTGTAAACGGATGTCCGCCGTAAAACCACACATGTGGGGCACTCTTCGAACGCTGCTCGTTCGTTTCACCTCTCTCTTTTCCTTACGTACCGAGACATCCTGGTTGCCATGCTATCGACGAGCCAGCCAGCTTAAATTTAGAAAATGAACCTCCTCAACATGACCGCCTCGCTACCATCGCAGACTATGTATGGCTCCGATGTGAGGATGCGAATAACTCCAATTTTTTGTATTCTTCATCGGCTTCTTACGCCGAAAGTGCACTGTGCTTTTGCAGCGATCAATCTGTTCTGCAATTATGAGTTGCAAACGCTGCTGAGGGAAGGAGCCCCAACTAGTGGTCGGAGAAGTCATCCTGCTTTCCGCTTTTGTTGCGCTGTGTCCCTAAGGAGAAGCTCGAATGTGAAGTTATTTGTCAGTGTCGAGCACATTCTTCAGATCCTATCACTTGATATGCAGTTGGACTCGCTTTCTTAGTGCTGCACTGCAGTCACCTTGACACCCACAACTCCTGTTCAGTTGACCATTCCTTATCAGCTTTCCTCGCTTGGTTCCGTACTTTGGTGAAAGGTGCTGTTGTTATATTTTTTCATGAGCTTTTCCACTCGCAGCTAACTACCTTGTTAGTCATGTATCGTTTCTTTTACCTCAGATTTATGGCGAAATGGATTAGGAATGAGAGAGCGGGTTGACCGATTGAGGGATGCCTGAAAATTGTGTTTATGTCAGCCGCTTGAGCATCTACGTAAGGCACCCACTTCACTCTTATCTACATTCTCGAGGTTTTTGGGAAATCTTCAGATTCGATCGTGCGTAAACCTTTAATCTGCTCACCTTAATGTGAGATTCAACTGTGTTCAAGTGACCTTTGTCACCTCAAAGGCTTGAATCCTCTAAGCTGCTAGGATTTTCGACTTCATCACTAATGATTCCTGCAAATTTTCTCAGAATGGAAGAGGTGAAGAGGAGCAGAATTCCAAAGGAATTGGATTGAACTGGAGGGAGATGAGTGTAGCATAATCAAAGCGACCAAGTGGGCCCGATATGTCATCCTTGCCATTCATCCTCAGATCAGCTTCCAGTGTCCAGTGAAAAAGAAAAGAGTCCATATCATTGTAAATGTCAGTTCTTTACCCTTTTTATGGTTTCACGCTCGTTTGGGAGCTTCGGAAGACTTCTGTCGTAGTGTTGGCGCTCGGTTTCCATTCTTTATCTGACCATCAAGTGAATTCACATAATGTCAAGGATTTATGTGAAAACGGAGAGGGTCTATTCATTGGATTCAGTTTGCATTTGATAGCAACTGAAAAATAAAACAGCGCCGAATCCCAGCATTTTTTATGCCCAGCGGTTTGCCTTTCTGTGCAGTGCAAACACACAGTGTTCCCACGGTATCTTTATTACAGTGGATGCTGACCGCTCAGTCAAAATTAGTTACGAAAAGTCCGTGTGAGATTTTCCCTGATCGAGAGGAATATGCCCTTTGCAACGTCTTCGAATGAAAAACTGTCGCAAGCGCACTTTGCAGTCTGAAAATGCCCTTCCTCCATGGAAGTATTCGTGAAGGATCCCATAAAGATGTACGATAACCTATAGAGATCAACTCCCAGCGAAATTCTACAAAGGCCCTCTAAAGAGCGAGGACGTCTCAAGGTAGGTTGGGAAGGAACCTGGGTGCGAAATACATTACCACTCAAATGCCGTCAGTGGTATCCGAAGTGTGCAGTACGACTACGCTTGAGTAGTCAACTCCTCCGAAAATGGTGATATGGAGAGAATTGCTCCATCCACCCATGTGTCTCATTGTAACGAAGCAAATGTGAAAAGGAGGAACGGAAAAAGGGCATCATTCGGTCTTTACCTACTGGTATGTCAACGTTACCCTACCTTGGGAAAGCGTAGGTTTCCATAGCGAGAATTTCTCTTTCACAACCACAGCAGTTTAGTTACTGGACGTAATCCTTTTGGAAATCGGGTCCTGCTGCTGTCTAGCGATGTTTGGGACCAACAGCATTCGTTTGTCAGGAGCCCGTGAGTCTAGGGCTGTCCAAACCAAACGACCTTGAATCCCTCTAGATTTCACTACATGGCAACAAGTTCTTTTTCTGTTCTGCAAGATCGCAGAGGTAAGCACTGAGCTGTTTTTTTCAAGCCAGGGGGTTTTCAGCGTGCATTTAAATGACCCCATACTCTGTACAAACGAAATTGTGCAAAATTCTTTAAGGAAGTCGATAAGCGTCGCGCCCATCAATTTCCAGAACCTCCCCTCCTCGCGCTTTTCTATTTTTTTATTCACATCAGACTGCACCGCTAGTCTAAAAGCCGAAGGCATTTGGATTTAATTTACGGCCAGCGGAGGTGTTTTTCATCTTTTGAATTGCTGCCTCGTCAGAATTGCGAATTATCTGCTCGCACTCTCAGGCTTCGCAGAAAGCATTTCGGCGTACATTCAGATTGTCGGTCATTGCTAATGGGAAGAACGAATTGGCGCCGGATGTTTTTCTTTCTACGATAGAACGCTGTGTGGAGATTATTTATAAGTGAGACCGAGGCGGAATTCACCGAGCTGTTGCTTCCTCCAGTCGCTGCCCTTGAGCTCTCAAAACGAAATTCGCTTTCACAGNCAGAGAAGCTGGTAACGGGTGATGTAGCATGAAGACTAAATTCTTGGGGAGCCACTGCTCTAGTTGGAACTTTCGTTTTCAAGTGCAGTCGCCAACTTTCGCTCCGCTTTTGCTCTCAAAGCATCCCACGTTGTCTCGCATCACTTACTCAGATTCTTAGGAGCAGTTTTAATCCATCCTGACGGAATAAACATGTATATTTTTGTATATTAGGATGTGCGGGAAGTATCTGTCGGACAGAATGGATGGCCCAGATTCCTTACAGAGTTTTCTTGGAGATTTCATGGGGTCTCTGTTATGAAACACTACCCACACAATACCGAAAATGGAGGCCGACAGTTTTGAAGAAAATTCCCGGATAAGTGATTTCTGGGGGTTACCCTAGTGCGATTCCTAGTCGTAGGTCCTCCCATGACCAATGGCTGATCAAAGCAGCGTTTCTCGGATAGCTTCGATTAGTCGGAGGGATAGAGCGCGGCAAGTAGTGGCAACGACCGTATATTGTTGCAGGAGTAATTCGTTATACATCATTTGTTCGAATCACAGAAATGCGGAAGAAATTTTCTGTAGGAACGTTATGGTTCGTGAAAAGAAGTCTTCTCTTAGAGAATCTACACGAGTGAATTGGGATTTCGGAAAACCCAACGTTCATATCCATTGACGAGGTTCACCTAAACGCTTTTCGACTAATTTGGAAACCAGAATGAACCACGGGTGACTTGGTGCTGTACGATCATGTCTCATCTTTCGAGACGTCCGAACCTCTGGCAGACAATCCAAACCATAGCGTTCTGAGTGGTCCGTTACTAGAGGTGACGCTTTAGTTTGGTGCGGCCCTTTCACGGATTCATCACTGTTTCGCTCTGTAACCATGAAACGAGTTTTTGTCTACAGTCAGCAGAAAGTTATTGTTCCTGTTGGCATCGTACCCACCCGTTCAGCGAATCTTCTCTTTCGATGGTTTATGAGTGGGCTTTTTCAAAGCATTTAGAATTTTTGTCATTCCCTAGTTGAACTGCTCTATTTTCATATTTCTTATTTTGTTTAATGATTCGGTTCAGTATGGGGG